TATATATATATATATATAATATACACTACACACACACACACACACACACACACACACACCACAACACACACACACATACATCTGGAGTGTTTTAAGGTCCTTTTTTCTAAACTTTCATACACTTTTAAGTATTTCCACTATGAGAAGCTAAGATATTAAGTGATATTAGTCACACCTCTGTGATCAGAAGAAGGTTAAGGTGTTGGGAACATGTTTTGTTACTCATTTGAGAGAGAGTCTGTTCAAGATGAAAATGAATTTGTTCTATTGGTTTAAAATAGTTGTTATTGTTAAAGATTTCATTCTGAGTTTTGTTTCTGGTGTGTGGAATTAAATACCTATTGTATTTTGGTGAACTCCTTATCTGGGTATAACTTTTTGACTGAAGAAAATGGCCCATAAAGTAATTTGGCTGATATATCATGTTAAGATTAAATTATTATAAACTTGTAGTTTAATAACTTTATTTTTAGACTTGTTTACAAACTTAAAAAAAACTGGTCAGATTTCCATAAAGAATTCTTGGGGAATTTTAGACAGTTGTTGCAAATGCAAAGAGATGATACTGAATAAATTACCTAAGGCCTCTAGAAAACAATTTGTATTGTATGGCTTCTACAGAAGCAGACCATGCTTTGCATATTTTTAGAACTGGGTTGACGTAACATGATGCAATAATTTGTTAATGACTAATAGTTTCAAAAACATAATTACATCAGATTTGGAATTGTGTGTAGGATTTTTTATGAAGTACTTAATACTAGAAAATTTAATTGAACTACATTTCATAAAAATATTGGTATGCTGTATGTTATGATGATGCATGATCTGGGTATTATTTTAATCTCGGTACTTTAGTAGAGAACGATAGGATATGAAGATATAGAAATGTTTTAATGTTCAAGTCAAAAATCATACTGGACTCCTTATATATATATAAGAAGGCTTTTTCATTGGATATCATAAGATAACTGAGCTGGATGTGATGGGAAAGTATATAAGAAAAGAAAAAGCTGCAGTTTATGTGATTGTTATCATTAATTTAGGCCTATTGGATTCATTACGTGCCAGCTGTTTGTGCTTAATGGCATAACGTTTTACTTTGTTCGAAATAATGTGGTAATTTTTGTGCAGAAACTAAGAACCTGTTTTTCAAAATGCTAAAAGTTTTTGATTAAAGCTGATTTCTTTTTAGCTGGCGTAACACAATCTCAAGCAAATCAGCATGGGGTATGTTTTTATTTGAAATATAATAAACTAGAAGAAATTTTTTAATTATCTTTCTTTAATATAAGCTTCCATAATATTGGTAATTATATTTATTCTAAGTTTCCTCTTTAGCAAATGAAACCCCTCTGTTATATCTGATAAATTAATTTTTTTTTTTTTGAGATGATCTTC